AGGGCTAACTACCCTCCCCAACAACCAGCTTGGTTTCACCTGAGCAGGCACAGAACTAATTGACAAGTCCAAACCTATCCTGGTCTACCTGTAACATCCTGATTGGTGCCCCATGTTCCAACACTGGCTACAAGAAGCACACTTACTGTTGCTTTCTTGGGGGCTCTGCACTCAGCCCTCAAGTGAGTCTGCTGGATCCAGCCACAGGCTCAATGGACCAGGGACAAGTATGTTTCTTCAGCTAACAAATGGGACACTTTCTCTGGTCTCTGACTTTGTCCCCTTTGACCCAAGCCATAGCTCTCTGGCTATGGGACAGGAGAATACTTGTGTCCATTGCTCATGCAGATTCATTAGTGAGGGACAGAAAAAGGCATGTGCCACACCCCAAGCATGGGGATTGCACCTGTGACAAAGGGCAAAAGGAAAGAACAGCCTCACAAAGAGGAGACATTTTAGGCCAATTCTTGAATGAAGCGAGGGGGAAAGTGCTGGGAGTGGGAACAGCCAGTGAATTCTGAGAAGTGTGCCCAAGCCTGACAGGTCGAGGCTGAGAAAAGTAGTGTGGCTGGACTTCAGGAAAAGGGGTGATAATGTGGGTTTTATTGAGTGCAACAGGAGCCTTGAGAAGGCTTAAATACAGTCCATCAGTGAGCCACAGCCCTTCCCAACAACCCCTATGATGGCTTTCTGTCCTCATTTTCCAGATGCAGAGCCCAAGGTATGATCTAGGTCAGGAGAGGGCAGAAGGGTAAACCAGAAGGGTTTGGGTTTGTCTTAGCTCAGATGTGAACCAGAATTGGAGGCAAGGCACTTCCCCTACCTTAGCTTCAGTTTCCTCATCTGCAAAAAGAGAGGTGAGGCCACAGCCTATTTGAAGGGGATGAGGGGAGAGCTGGCACTTGAGAGTCATGGAGGCTGAGTGAGCAGGGGTGGGGCATGGTAAGACCCACAAGCTGACCAGCCTTCTTAGAGACTGGTCATGGGCTTCAGATGGAGGTGGGTAGGATTAAGGCTCAGGGAAACGTTTCTCATACCAGTAACCTTATCACAGCAAAATAACCCCTAACTTCTCCTCTCCAGACAGACACTTTTACCTCTCCACTCCCTCTCTATTCCGGCCACAGGAGCTTTCCAGCATTACTCAAACACACCAGCTCCATCCCGTTTGAGAGTGTGTGGAACACTTTCCTGCTGTTTCCAGTGGCTGATTCAGGGTTCAGCTCATTTATCTGCTTCTATCCCTCCTAGGTCACCCCCTTCCTGGCATTTAGCACAACTTAGTTGTTTGGTTTTTTTTGTTTTTGTTTTTGTTTTTTTTTTTAATTTCCATTCAATTCTTTTACACTTGACTTTTCACTTGCCTCCTCATTGAGGGCAGGGATGTATCTAAACCTCTTTGCTGAGACCCAGAACTTGGAACAGAGTAGGGGGCCAATAAATACAGGAATGGAAAGGACTGAACTGACCAGCTGGCCGACTGGACTCACACCGCATCCTTGACTCTCCCCGCCCTCCACCCCGCCAAGACTCTTACCCTCATTAAGACCCTCACTAAGGAGAGCTTCCACCACCTCCCCACCACATTTCAGCAATATCTGAGTTCAAATCCCAACTCTGTTCTTGGGCAGGTGACATCTGTGTAAGCCTCAATTTCCTCATCTGTAAATGCTGTTCATGTCAAGACAGCCCCGCCCCGCTGTTCCGTCCCTAAATACGAGAAGAGTGCTGGGTCCCTGCTCCCCAGCCTAGCATCTCCATTCCCAGGACCATCACCACCCAGGGGTGCGATCTCAAAGCCCCTTCGACTCTGCCCAGGCTAGGGAGCCCAAAAGGTCTGGGTTCGAATCCTCCCAACTCCCTTTTGAGAACCGGACCAAGAACCTTAACAAGCTTTTCTCTAAAATGGAGCGCCCGCGCCTGCCTTCTCCCGGGGGAGCGACTCCTTCACCCCTCATTCGTAAAATGGGCCATCGCTGGAGCCAGGTGCGAGGTAGAGCGAGTTTATTGCAAGTGTCAACTGGGGCGGCGCCCGGAGAGCACCGCCCCCCAGCGACAGGCACGTCATGATGGCAACCGACGCCACCTGAGCGCGTGCCCTCGCTGGCAGCTCCTCCAGGTTGCAACCGCCCGCCGCGCAGCCGTCGCTCATTCCGCGCAGGCACAATGGCTTCCGTATCCTCGTGTCCCGCCCCCTCCCGAGACCTTCCTGCAGGGAATCGAGGATGCGTATGCAACCTCCTGCTCTCCGGATCGTGGAGGAGGAGCTAGATTCCAAACAGAGGCGACTATGGCCCTCGCCGTTGAGGAAGCGGGGAAAGGGGGAAGGACGCCTGTGCAGTGGCATGCGGCGGCTTCGCGGGACTCTGGAAGTTCGCCTCTCGCGCGTACGTTGCGCTTTCGCAGTGCTCGAGGCGGCGGGAATGGAGGGAACCCCGGCTTTTAGCCAGAGTCCCCCGAGCGCAGCCAGCCGTTGCGCGCTACCTGGCCAGCAGAGGGCCTGGCCGAGGGGCTGAACTGCAGCAACTCGGCGATCAGGGCCTTGCAGCGCTCGGACAGCTCGAGGCCGTCGGGGTAGAGAACGCCGCGCTTCTGGCGCCGGGGCAGGCCAGCAATGTCTGAGTCGTCGAAGGGCATGCACCCAGTCACCATGACGTAGAGCACGACGCCCAGGCTCCACACGTCGTACTTCTTGGGGTCGTAGGGAATGCCCAGGAGTACCTCGGGCGATGCGTAGGCGGCCGAGCCGCAGTAGGTGGTGCTCAGGTCTGGGTAGCCATGTGCCTGGCGGCCGAAGCCGAAGTCTGTGAGCTTGACGCGGCGCTCGTCGGGGCTCAGCAGCACGTTTTCGCACTTGAGGTCGCGGTGCACCAGGTGGTGGTCGTGCAAGTAGCGCACAGCACCTGCGATCTGTGCGAAGAGGTCGCGTGCCTGCCCCCCGGGGATGCGCCCACTGCGTTGCACAGCCTGCAGCAGGTCGGTGGCGGCCGCTTCCATCACGATGTACAGCTTCCCGTTGCACACTTCGATGAACTCGAAGACGTGCACAATGTGCGGATGCCGCACGCCGCGAAGGATGGACAGCTCTCGCGGCAGGAACTTGTTGACGAAGTCAGGCGGCGCGCGCCGCCGGTCTACTACCTTGATGGCCACCGTGCCCTTGTACTTCTTGGATGTGGCCACCTTCACTTTGGAGTAACTACCCTCACCTATTGTGCGGCCCAGCTTATAGCCGAGTTCGCTCAGGAGTTTGTCGCCCGACATGGTGGCGCCTGGGGCGCGCGGGGGAGTAGGAGGCGGCTGCTGTCGGGGGGCGGCCGGACTCCAATCTCGGGCCTAACCCATGGCGCTTGGCACCTGCACACCCGCACCCCCATGTGCCCACTCCCGGGCCCCCGCCGCCGCGGTGCCTTTTATTACCCAGGTAACAATTTCTGCCTTGTGAAGTGACCGCGGGCGTCATTCCGCCTCGGGGTGGGCCCCCTCGGACCCCGCCCCGCCGGGGTCCCCCAAGGCCCTAGGGCTTTGTGACTCATAATCGCTCTGAATGGTCCAGTTCCCGATGAGAGGCCACTAGCAAGGGCTGCCGACCACCATCGGGGAGTAGAATCCATGTCTAGGATTGGGGTGGCGCCTCACTAGTCAAATCAAACGACAGCCGTCCCCCAACTTCTTGTACCTAGCCCTGACTATGTGGAGCCCTGCGTTGCCCCTAGAACCTCTTAGGGGAGAAAACGGGAAAGGAAGATTAGCGCAGTGATCTGGCTCCCTCGGGAGCTTGACTGTCCTACGCAATGCCCTAAAGGGAAAGTGAACGGGAGGTCCTTTAGTGCAAGGGACCCCGGCGACCCCACGGGCTCCAGGTGGCCACGCCCCGTCTTGGAGAAAAGAAAACCAGGATTCCTTGGCCATAGCCAGGCCCCGCAGCCCGAGTTCTCTCGTACTGTAGGGTCTCTACATCAGGGCCCTAGGTTCGGCCCAGCCAGACACTTGCGCGGCCGCTTCCGCCACACATAGTGGCAGCGGCTGCGGACTACGTCATTTCCGCCCGCGACCGGAGGTGGGGAGCCCTGCAAACATGGCGGCGCCGAAGGTGAAGCAGGACATGCCCCCGCCGGGGGGCTACGGCCCCATCGACTACAAGCGGAACCTTCCGCGTCGGGGAATGTCGGGTCAGTGTCCGCCTGCACTGTGGTATCAGGGTCTTGGCCTTCTGGGCGCCGCGGCAGGGGCGGGGCGCCAGGGAAGCTAGAGAGCCTCAGTTTATCTGCGGTGTGATGAGAGGCGGAGCTGCGGGATCCCTGATAGCTTCAGCGGTAACGATAACTGCTATAATTTGTCGAGCGTTTACTAAGCCCTTACTTTCTCTGATAACAGTCCAGGAGTCAGTCCCGTTAATTTTTTCCATTTCACAATAGATTAAACCGAGATTAGTATAGCTTGCGCCCCTAATCCTCGGCCACGCTTCCTCTCACAGTTGGGGAAAGTAAGAGAGGCTGCGACCTCACCCGCCAGGCCCACCCAGAGCAAAGCTAGGGCCAAAACCCAGAACGCCGAGGAAATTTAAAAGATGTTCTATGCGGTGGTTCCTCGCTGACGGCCCCCACCTGCAATATGTCCCAAGAATATGCGTTCTTAAATTTATCCAATGTTTTAAGTAACGTTTTAAAGTTTGTTACTGCTTCATCACAGAAAAATGTAAAAAAGTGAAAGGCACCCATGATTAACAGAAATGCAAAGAAATTTAAAACAAGGGTCAATACATTTGCTATAAATCATCAAACTTTACATTTAAAATCTGTGCATGTTTAAAAAAATTCATAGGCATGGTAAAAAAAAAAAAGTAGCAATTCAGACAGCAGTAAAGTTAATGTCAAGTGAGAACTTAAATCCTCCTCCTTCCCTTCTGGCCTCTTTTGTATCCAAGAACTAAGGTTGGCAAACTTTTTCTGTAAAGGGTCAGATAAATATTTTATGCTTTGATGGCCAGATAATTTCTGTCCACTGCTGCTGCTTTTTTACAACTGTTTACAGACCTAAAAGTGTTCTTAGGCTGAGGGCCATACAGGAACAAGCTACAAGCTAGATGTGGCACCACTTGACCACTCAACTCATCCTAGAGATGATTGAAGGAAAATAAGTGATCTGAGTCTCTTTTCTCAAAATACAACTTAATACCCAGGCCATTGCACCACTCAGGTGTGCTGCATGAAGTCCGTTTACACATATACACCTATGTGACCTGTATCCAGGCTGCAGAAGGATTCCAGCCCTCAGGCCTCCCTGGGCAACCCCCAGTCAGCATCTCTCTTTTTATTTTTAAGTCACAAACATGCCTTTTATCCCAGCTCTCTTCTTGTTCATGACACAGCTGTGCCTCCCATGGGCCCTAAATACCAATGCCTAGGATTGGATCTCCTAATCGCCCCCCTTTACACTAACTTTCATCGTAGTACATACAAACCCACCCCAGTCTTTCCTGGCTGCTGAAAGGTGAGGAAGGTATCTCTTTTGGTGGTGTGGTCTTTGTTTATTATCTGCATTCATTCAGTAATTAATTGTCGAATGTGCACATGATTGTGGACCCTGTCTCAGGGAGCTCGCTGTCTAGCTGAGGAGATAGACACATCATGCCAGAATTTCCTGTTTTGGCAAGTAGTGAGGCCTCAGCTAACTGGGGCCTGCTTTAGCCAGGGTAGGCTAGAGGTACCTCTCTGAGAAGTCCCCCAGGCAGAGGGAAACAGTAAGTGCAAAGGCCCTGTGCTGTATCCTGTACCCTGCCCTCATCCTCTTCCTCCTGGCCCTCCGCCAGCCTTACCTCTTTTGAGCCCTGGTCTACAGTGCCCCTCTCCCCATCAGTCCTACCTTCCCCTGGTCTTATGTGGCTCCAAGCCTGGCACCAGCTGCCCTTCTCTCTCTGGACCACACACTACCAGCATTCCAGCACATGTCAAGCGGGCTCAGGCTGTCTTTAATCCACACTGCTCCCAGAGTGACTGCCATCCCCACCTCTCCTCATCTCTCACACTCAGTTCCTCTCTGTACTCTCCTGCCCCAAGTATGTGGTGCTTTCTTCTTTTTCTTGTGTCTTTAACATTTATTGAGATTCCATACCATACAATTCACCTATTTCATGTTTACAAATCACTGGTTTTTAGTCTATTCACAGTCGTGCAGCCATCTCAGTGATCTAAATTTGCAACACTTTCATCACCCAAAAAGAAGCCCCATTTTGTAGGTTGTCTTTTCAGCTCAATGGTGGTATCATTTGTAGCACAAAAGTTTTTTAGTGAAGTCCAATTCATCTATTTTTTCTTTTGTGCTTCTGGTGTCATATCTAAGAAACCATTGCCTCATCCACAGTTACAGAGACTGATTCCTCTGTTTTCTAAGAGTTTTATAGTTTTAGCTCTTACATTGAGATAAAATCTATTTTGTATTAATTTCTGTGGAAGGGGGAAGGAAGGAGCACATTTTATTCTTTTGTATGTGGCTATCCAGTTGTCTAATTTGCTGAAAAGACTATTCTTTCCCCATTGAATTGTCTTGGCACCCTTGTCCAAAATCAATTGACCATAAATGGTTTATTTCTGGACTCTCAGCTCTGTTCCATCGATGTACATGTCTATGCTAATGCCAGTGCCACGCTGTCTTGTACACACAGCTGTGTGATAAGTTTTGAAATTGTGAAGTGCAAGTCCTCCAACTTTGTTCTTCTTTTTCAAAGTGGTTTTGGCTATTCTGGTCCCTTGGATTTCCATATGAATTTTATCATCTTGTCAGTTTCAATGGGACTGTGGGGGAGAAGGTTGGGATTTTGATGGGCACTGCATTGAATCTACCTCAATTTGGAGAGTGTTGCCATCTGAACAATGTTATGATCCCATGAACAGTTTACATTTGTTTAGGTCTTTCTTTTAATGTTTTTTTTTTCTTTGTCATCAATATTTATTCCTTTATTTTTAAATTTCAATTAGTTTCAAGTATACAGTACATTGGTTAGATGTCTGTACAGTTCGTAAAACGGTCCCCCCTCCAATTGCTCCCTCCCTCCTCTCACCCTCCACCTAGCCAACGTATTCATTCTGATTGCATTCCCTATGCTGTGCTCCCCGTCCCCGTATCCACCCATCAGCTATTAATTTGTACTTCTTTAATCCTTCACTCCATTCTCACATCCCCCCAAACTCCCCTCCCCTCTGTCCATCACCAAATTGTCCACTATATTTGTGAGTCTCTTTTTGATTAAGTCTTTTTATTCCTTATATTCTGCATATAAGTGAAATCATATAGTGTTTATCTTTCTCTGTCTGACTTAAATACCTTCTAGGTCCATCAAAGCAATATCTTTTTCCATCCCCTTTTAGTCTGTCTTTTAATCTGAAGTGAGTCTCTTATTGGCTACAATTAGGGGTCTTGTTTTCCTTTCCATTCATCCACTCTTTTAGTTGGAGCATTTAATTTAATTCTTTTCCATTTGGGGTTGATAGGAAAATAATTGTTACCATTCTTTATTCCTGTTTGATAGGAAAGTAATTGTTACCATTGATAGGAAAGTAATTGTTACCATTCTTTATTCCTGTTTTTGATACATGTATTTAGGTCTTCTTAATGCATGGCCCACACACCCTTCTGGATATGCCGTTCCTCAGCCTCCTCCACCATACTGGCAGATCCAGAGACACAGACATCCCTGATGGCCTGGGGTCTTGGCCTTGAAGCCAGCAGTGAGAAAGAAATGAGTTAGAGCTGCATAATTGTAAAGGCTGCCTTAGTCCTGGAATTTATCTTACAGATGGCCCACACTTGGGTGCCTGGTGTGATGATGGCAAGGGATTTTCACACAGACAGCCCAGGTCTGTCCCCTGGGGCTAGGTCAAAAGAGGAGGCTCCTGGGTCTTTCTGCAACTATTGAAAAGAATGAGGCAGCTCTGATGAAATGCCTAGCACAGGTGGCCAATCATTTGGTGTGGTGGGAGGGTTACTGGGCACTTAAGCCTCTCAGGAGAGGTCCTGCCTCTCAGCACAGGAACCAGGGTGCCCTCACTGATCGGTTCCTGTAATGTAGAACTGTCTTACCCTGAGCTGGTGTTTTCAACAGGTTGAACTAAAAGGGGAAAAATAGAACCAGTTTCTCATTTATCTCCAGGTCCAGCAGAGGTGCCTGATGAGCCTCATGCAGGAGCTGAGCTGAAGAAGAAAGAGCCCCCACTTTGTCCCCTTACAAGGCCCAGGGAGTGGCCTCACCCATCATTTACCGTTTTTTTTTTACTGAGTGTTAACTAGAGGTTGACCTGGCTGAGCTTATGCATTCATCACAGCAACCACAAGGCCTAGCCAGAGAAGAAACCAGAAAAGATGAGAGGGTGCAGGGTGAGCCAGGCCCCAGATGGCCGGGCCTCCCTGAAGATCCCAGCAGGTCCACAACCTGTCAGTCAGGATTACAGCTTGGATGCCTTCTGGTGCTCAGTAAATATTTATGGCAGCCTGTACCCTGGGGTCTGGGTGAGTGGGGGCAGGGCTTGGGTTCACCCTGCTGGGCCAGGAGCAGCAACACCCCAGGAACCCAGGGGGCAGTAGGCAGCCCCTGCAGGGTACTGCTTGCCTCTGGCAGCCCTGTCCATCTCCCTGTGGGCAGCACACAAGGAGGTGGCCCAAGCAGCCAGGAACCACCATGGGGCTGGGACCCAGCCATGGACACCTACCTTCCTTGTGAGGAATGGCCAACTGGGAACCAGACAACCTTCTAGAAGATGGTGGGGCCAGGGCACCCAGCCATAAACCTCTAGACTCATGGGCCCTTCTGCAGTCCCTGCCTGGCCTATACCTTACAGAAACTGGCATGGGGGCAGAAGTATTATATCCACAAGGGCCTTGCCTGTGAGAGAGAAGCTGAGGTAGCCTGGTGTCCCCTGCTTGCAGAGTTGACGAACGTGATAGAGAGTGATCTGCAGCTGCAAAGAAGGAAATGTCCAAGGAAGGGGGCCGGTGGACATTCCACAGAGATAAAAAAAACATAGTCTGAAGAAATGTGAGCCATCTCTGGGAGTGGGTCACGGGGGCTCTCACCTTCTCCCTTGTCCATATTTCTGGAGTATTTGCACAGCGAATGGATTATGCTTCTTGAGAAAAAACAAGGGTGGCCTGTGCCGTGTGCAGGTGCCGAGCCAGCACTCCTCTCCCCACAGGCTACAGCATGTTTGCCGTGGGCATCGGGACCTTGCTTTTCGGGTACTGGAGCATGATGAGATGGAACCGTGAACGCAGGTAGGCCCCACACAGATGAGGGTGGGCACGTGCCCATGGACTTGGTGTACATCGGGGCCCCTTGTCAACCTTCCAGGCCTGGGGGACCCAGCAAGTCCATTTCTGGGGTTTACCATCGAGGATTGACTAATAAGTGAGGAGCTTGCCTCCAGGTGTTCACTGGGCACCCCTCGGCCTCTGCCACTGAGGATGTAAGGGTCCAGGTTGTGACAGCCCATCAGGTAGAGGTGGAGGGGCAGGCCTGGAACTTGTTCTCTTAGTAGGTTTTTGTCCAGGGTGACCAGGCAATGACCATAGAAAGCTGATTAGAGAGCTGATCACATAAGACAATGGCATTGCCAGCCATGTGCGGCCTGAGGGACCAAGGCCTGTGGTGCTCTCAGTTCAGATCTCAGCCACTTCTGAGCTTGCCTGATTCCGTGCCAGGTGGCTCCTTCTAATTGGTCCCCAATTAGCTGGGCCCCTCTACCCTGTCCCATCTGTGACATGTGTTCTTAGCACCTCCCTCCCCCACCCTCTTGCCCCCTGCCATGAGGCCAAGAGTCCCTGAGGGTGGTGCTGGAGAAGGCTCAGCTCAGGGAAGGCACTCCACATTGTCAAGTGAACTCAGGAGCACCTGGTGGGTGCTGAATGCTAGGGACCCTACGCTGGACGGGTGAGGCCAGGCCCAAACTCCGAGGGAGAGATGGTAGTGCCCATAGTGTGTGTGGCTGTGGTAAAGGCAGCTGCCTGGTGGACGAGGTGGGGAGAGAGGGGCTGAAGTTTATCCACTCCTTCCCTGTGCCTCTGTAAGATTCCCCTTGATGAGGGGACAGAGCCAGAGGCTACTCCCTAGGCCACGACATGGCTCCATTTCCACCATCCCCCAGCATGGACAAGGCTGGTGAGTTGGAAGATGCTGAAAAGCAGTGAGAAGAAAGGAGCTGGATCATGAATACCCCACCTCCCTTCTCTGAAGCTGTCAGGCTTGGGCTATTTTTAGGATTAAAACAGTTTTTAATTGAAAAGAAAGTGTGAAGCCAGCAGTCTTGTGGACCAATGCCTGTGCCAGCTAGGCACCCCCATCTCAGTCTCCTGGTGGGCAGAGCCCACTGCCCAAGGTCTGCCCTGCTCACTCGCCTCTCCACCTGACCCCCCATCCCCATGTATCATCCTGAATGTCCAGGGGCTGCATTGTCTGCCCCCCATAGTCTGATCCAAGTATTGGTTTTGGGATTTCACAGGCGCCTGCAGATCGAGGACTTTGAAGCCCGTATCGCACTGATGCCACTGTTGCAGGCAGAGAAGGACCGGAGGTGGGGCTGCCAGGGCCAGGGTCAGGAGGTCATAGGCCTGAGTACCCCAGCTTACAGCACAGGACATAGCCAGAATGTACATAGGGACTGGCAGCTGCGTCCTTGCACATGGAACTGCTGTCAGCCCTTGAAGAGGGCACTACACATAAAGTGGAGACCCAAGGAGGAAAACTAGGAAGGCTTCCTGCAAGAGGGGGCGGGATGTTGGGGCTGGGGCAGGAGGACAGCAAGAGTTTGCTAGGGAGAGGAAAAGAAGGGGTTAATTTGTGCAGGGTTGAAGCAGCAGGACGTGATTGGGGTGGAGCAGGGACGGGTCTGGCAGGTGTATTAGGCAGGCGCGTTCAGGCCTGTCCCCCACTTCCCACTCCATCCTCGCAGGGTCCTGCGGATGCTTCGGGAGAACCTGGAGGAGGAGGCCATCATCATGAAGGATGTGCCTGACTGGAAGGTGGGTCCCCAGCAGGCACTGATAAGTACAGCTTCCCACAGAAAGCCTGGGGCAGAGAGGGGTAGTGGATGCTGGGTGTGAGGAAAGGAAGGCAGCCGCTTCTGACAAAATGGCCAGCAGGGGTGGTCAGTCAGTCGTGTGTGTGTCCCGCTAGGTGCTGGGCCTGAGGGGTGGATGGGGTGAGGAGAGGGGCTGAAGTTTATCCACTCCTTCCCTGTGCCTCTGTAAGATTCTCCTTGATAAGGGGACAGAGCAGCACCCCCACCTATATCCACTGTCTCCTCAGGTGGGTGAATCTGTGTTCCACACAACACGCTGGGTGACCCCCATGATGGGCGAGCTCTATGGACTGCGCACAAATGAGGAGATTCTCAATGCCACCTACGGCTTCATCTGGTACTCGTAGGGGCCCCCTTCGACCCCACTCCCTCCCCACAAAAGAAAATAAAAGCCCTGGAGACCTGCTAGCCTGTGTCATGGACTGAGTGACTTGGCCGCGCGCAGGGGAGGAGGGGCACCGCGTTGGTTCTACAGAAAATGCCAAGCAGGGTGGCCTGGAAAAACACCCAGAGGCTATCCCTGGATCCACCAGCAGCCTCTACTCCCAAACACGCTTGGACTCTCCTACCTCTAGTGGAATCATGCATATTCTGCGGCCCTCCAGGCCGGGCACAAGGGTGGTTAGGGGCTTGGAGAGGAGTGTACCAGGGCAGAGGGGTGGGGCAGCAGAGGCGGAACCTATCGCTTCCGCTCCAGACTTCCTTTTCCTACCAGTGTTAGCGTCTCCGGGCTTCCCTGCATCCCAGCTGCAGCCCCGCTCCTCGCACTAAAGGGCGAGCATGAACGGTGGGCGGGGAGGAGGTGTGGCTTATACAGGGATGCACTTAAAAGGCATCGGTGGGGCACCCTCACCCACCCACCCCGCACTGTGCGCAGCTGCTCTCCCTGGCCATGAGTGGCGCGGCTGGCCCGGATTTGGCGGAGGTGCCGGAGGAGCGACGTTTCCTCAGGTCAGCCGGGAAGGGGATGCCGGGGACTCCATGGCAGCGATGCGACCCAGGGGACCAGAGGCAGAGGCATGGCTGGGAGGGGGAATGAGAGCAGAGGCATGGCCAGGGAGGGCCCCAGAAATCCGAGGCCCACTGGGCATTTCACTGGACAGACTATGCGCTGCCGACGCCTCTGAACCTACGTTGCCAGGGAAACTGCATCCGCGGCAGCCGGGCTTCTTGGATGATTCCTCAGCATGAGTACTCACTCCCCCATCATCCCTTACCCCAACCAAGGCCCACTTACCCTTTGCATGTCCCAGGGACTCTGGAGCCTCTATTCCTCCTTCCCCATCTGAACTCTTTTACTCTCAGGTCCTCAAACGCTCACACAGCCCTTGGTGGGTCACCTGCTACTATCACCTTGTTCAGAGAAGGAAACAGGCCTAGGGAGGGAAGCCACTGCCTGAGCTAGAGCTAGGGTGATTCTTGAACACATGGGCCACCTGCCACAGGGTTGATGAATTTGGGGTCTGGAGCTGGCAATTGTGGCTATCTCCTACCTCGTCCTGAGTCATCCTGTGTGACATTGGACCCTAAGCAGGGCTATGGACCTCTCTGCAAACCAGATTCATCTAACAGCCTTTTGTCTGGCCACTTCTATCCACTGTCCAATCAGCCTCTCCTCTCAGGGCAGAAATTGTCCAGTGACTGGCTGATGTCCAGATTCAGCGTAAATACCCAGCACATCCTAGGCAGGGGGAGAATAATGTTTTAGAAGCTGAGCTATGACATTATCCAGCATGGGGGACAGTGGGCCAGTTGTTTAGGGCCTCAAACACCACTGAAGAGTGATGGGGCTCTGTGGGGTGGATAGGAGTGGAACACAGTAAACAAGGGAAGAGAAGGCATTGAGGCTGGAGACATAATGGGGGTGTGTAGGCGTGATAAGGAATTTGAGTATTCTCTGAATACTGCGGAGCCTTAAGGTTTTCAACATGGTGATGTGATCTATTCAAGTTTTCAATGCCTCCATTACTTGTGTTGTGGAGTTGGGGGGAGGAGGTGGTATGAGATCGCTGTAGACAGTCAGGTGAGCAATGATGGAGGGCTGGCATCAAGAAGTATGAGGATGAAGAGAAGCAGACGGAGCTGAGAGCCCAGGGAAGGTCTGGGTCTGGTATGGGCACCCTGGCCTCCAAAATAGTCTTTTACTGGAAGTATTTTGGGAGCATCAAGCCCAGTTCCCTTTGAAACCAGGTCCCCTCAGCCCTTCTGGGACAAATCCTGGGCCTCAGCGCCTCTCATCTGGAAGCTAATGTTGAGTGAAGCAAGAGGCACCCTCATAATTCCCCAGTCCTACAACATCTCTGCCCTGTCCCCATACCATACCCAAAGCCACCACCACAGGCTCCTAGCCTGGACCACCCTCTTTCCATGGAGTTCCCGTTATCACCCTATTGACCAGTTAGGCAGGAAGATAATGTTCTAAGTGGTTACCTGAGACCAGAGCTTTTGGACCGAGGAAGAGGAGGAAAGGATGGTTCTTCCACCCTCATTTCCCCCTCCATCCTCCTGTGGGAGCTGCAATCAGAGCTGTGGAGAAATAAACCACATTCCCAAATGACCCTCCCGGGAGCCAGGCCAGCCTGCAGGAGGTAGGGAGATCTCCCCACTTTGTACTTCAACCTCATCCCACATTGGCCAAACACAAGCTCAGGGTTGAATATGGCTGTGATTGCTGTGATCTTGGGGCATGTGGCCTCCTTGCCCTCAACCTTTATCTCCCCCATCTGTGAGCCCCCAAATTGTGTTCCTGACCCAGTATCTCAGTCTTGCTCACTCTGCTCCAGCCATACTAGTCTCCATTCTGTCCCTTGAACCTGCCAAATTTGTTTCACTGCAAGGCGTTAGCCCTCACTGTTCTTGCCACCTGGATTACCTCCCGTAGTGCTCCAGGCCAGTTCCTCCAGGAGGCCCTCCCTGACTCCCCATCCCACAGCAGTCCTCGTTCTCCACTTCCACCCCTCCTGCTGCCTGGCCTGGTCACCCTGCAAAATTGGCCAGGAGTTTGTGTTTTCCTGCTCACAAAATCAAAGGAGGGAACCTAGGATTCATCCCAACAAACCTCTGCCATCTGTAGGTCTGCCTCTGCTGTTTTGCTTACACACCATTTGTGGCTCTGGAGACAGACACCAAGCGTGGAAGTCTGGGTTTTCCCACTCACTTTCTGCATGACCCTGGGCAAGCCACTTGGCTTCTCTGAGTTGTTGGATGTTCTTCCAACTCTTCTGGGCCTGGCTCTATTATTATTACCCTCTCTAGAGTCTGCTGAACTGGGGGTAGGTGCTGTTTCCCAATAGGACTGGGTCCTGTTTGGGGGGAAATGGCATCAGGCCATAGACCCTGCCCAGCTGCCCAACCCCTGATTCTGGAGTGAGGAACACCTGATCTTCAAAACCAATTCTCCCTCTCTGCGACCACTAAGCCCAGGCCCCTTGGAAGGCCCCTAAGCCAACTTAGAAAGGTCTGGTGCTTGGTATAATGCTCTATCACCATCTTGAAATTCTTAATTTTTTAACAAGGGCCCCCCACATTTGCATTTTGAATGGGGCCCCGAAAAATCGTCTAGCTCATCCTGCCTTTACTTTTGCAAAGAAAGGAGCAAGGCTCAGAAAGATGAAACAGACCCCAGTCACTCAGCAAGGCAGTGGCAGGGCTTCCCCTCAGTGGGTTGGCATCTCTCTGGGCACAATTATCTGAATTGTACCACTGCCTTTGAGGAGGGGTCGCCAGTGGGTCTCATAGCTGCAGACCCCACATCCGCCTCCCTAAGTTGAGCCATCAAATTCTTCTGCAGCCTTCACAACTCACCTCCCCCATGTACCCCGAGTCCAGTCAGCCCCCTCCAGTGTCCTAGAGCTCAAACAGTGGTTTCCTCTGCTTGAAATCCATCCATAGCCCCCAAAGAAGTTCTTCATGCCCCATTCCTCCTTCTGGGTTCCTCCCACCTTGGGGCCTGGGGGCGTCTCGTTCCTGCTCAGTATCTCACGCTTTGGGGCAGTTGAACCAACATGCGCCACCGCGCGTTTCCTCGACCACCAGAGGGCGCCCTCACCTCAGGCTTCGTCTCAAACCTCCCTCTGCCTGCCTGGTTCCATCCAACCATGTGCGCTTCAGACCGGGAAACAGGGTCCGGGGTGACGTCAGGGACTGGCTTGGAATGGTGGTAGAATATTTCTGGTTCCATCCAAGCCTCTGTCTCTAGGTGTCAGTCTCTGTTTCTCAATGACTCTGAGCATCTCTCCCTATTCTATTCAGCACCGAGGAGGCAGCCGCCCTGGAGCGGGAGCTTCTGGAGGATTATCGCTTTGGGCGACAGCAGTTGGTGGAGATGTGCGGTCATGCTAGTGCCGTGGCTGTGACCAAGGTACATAATCCCAGACCCTCAGCCTTGACCCCAGCCAGATGGCCAGCCCTTGGCCTAGCTGCATGAACCCCGTGGATGTGCGGCCCTCAAGAAGCTCCTTTTTGCTTGGGGCCACCCCAGCCCATCACTCAAATGAGGAAACCGAGGCCCAGAGAGGCTCGTCACTGGGCCAGGCCAGGCAGGGACCCAAGACCTAGGGTGTCAGGGTCAGGGCAGAGGTCAGGATCCCTAGAGACAGAGGCTGGAATGCAGAAACCGAAGTGCTGCAGGGTGGGGTCTGGGGCCCTTGAGGTACAGATGTGACTGCCTACCTCTGCCACCTCCTGGGTCTTGGGCATGGGGAACATTGGTTCCTGCAGTCCAAGCACCCCCAAACAACCCTGTGCCACAGGTGGGAAACAGAGGCTCAGAGGCAGGGAGGGGCCTAAGCAGGGTTCCAAGGGATGGGAAGCGTAGCAGTGTCTGGTCTGGGGCAAACCCCCCACCCTCTAGATTCCTGCAAAGGACTCGAGAGTAAAAGCAATGATGATACTACTATTGTACTTTGCCCCCTGTTACCCCTGAACAAGGGTAATAAAACTAACATCATTTAATAAACGTAAATAACTTAGAAAAGTGCCTGATAGAATTAGGGTTCCAGCATGTAATGCTTCTCCTCCTCTTCCTCCCCATCTCTTCATATTATCACTGTATACTTAAAAAAAAAAAAAATGCTCAATATCTTTCTTTATGTGGACTCAATTTTTTTTTACATAAATGTTCTTATTTCTAAATGAAACATATCCTGAGTGAGGTGCCCAAAGAAGAAGGAAATGGTGAAAATCTAAGCCACAGAAGCAAAGCCAGTGTAATAAAGCTTTGCCCAGCTCCCGGTGACCAATCATCGGGTTTTTGCCCCAAGTCCATCTAGAAGCCCCTTGATCTTAGCCAGCCAGATGATGTCACCCTCCCTGACTCTGAGTGTGGCGTGGTGAGTCGCAGGCACAGTCAGGGCCTCACTGAGACCTTGGGAAGGAGACTCAAAAATGAAATAATTTTACTTCTGTGTGGTTGGAGGTTAGAGTATGGCTGGGCCCCCCAGAGCCACTCTGGGGCTAGGGAGAGTCCCCAGAGGCCTGTCAGAGCCATTGTCACTCCTATTCGATAGAAGCAAGCTGAGGCTGAGGGAGGAGAGCAGGGTCGAGGCCACTCAGAGTCAGAGCAGGTTGGGATTCGAACACCAGCATGCTTAACTCCTGTGTTAAGGAGAGAGAGATGCATGGTCCTACAGAGACAGAGAGTCTGAGAGATAGAGACTGAGACAAAGAGACACAGAGACAGAGACAAACCAGATAGAGAGAGACAGATGGGGAGAGACACAGAGAGTTTGAAAGATACATAAAGACAGAAGTGAAGACAGGCTGATGGAGAGAGACAGGCGGAGAGGGACAGGGCATGGCAGGTTGGAAAAGTACTCCCCTCCCTCCAAGGCCTGGAAAGTGGGTGGGGGAAGGGCAGCCACTGCAGTGGAAAAAGGTGGAGGAATGTCTGCAACTCAGGCCGAGAATAAACAAACCACAGTCCTGGCGCCTGGTGGTGGCAGGAGGCACGTTTTCCCATTCCCTCTTGGCAGAGCCTGAGGCAAGGACTCTGTGTCTCCAAGGAGGAAACTGAGGCCCCAAGAGGCCCTGCCCTTTGCCCAGAACACTCTTCCTTCTGTCCCTATCCTATTGCCTCCAGGCCCAAGCCCTGTCCTTTCCACTGCCTGGGGCCTCAGTTTCCCCACATGAGCAAGGAAGAATTCCAAGCACCATGCCTTTGCCTTCACTGTGTCTCCTTCTAGGTGTTTCCCTTGTCTGCCCTCTCCCGGAAGCAGAGGACAGTGCTGGTTGTGTGTGGCCCGGAGCAGAACGGGGCTGTGGGGCTGGTCTGTGCCCGGCACCTGCGGGTGTTTGTGAGTAGTAAGGACCCCCTTTGCCTCCCAGGGTTACGCCCCCACCCCAACCTCACAGAAATCGATTCTTCCTCTTTGTAGTGTCCCAAGGGAACGTAGAGGCTGGACAAGTTACAGAATATGCCCAGTGCTTGCCCCAGGCAGGGTCTGCTGCCTGGTGCCAGATCTGGGATCTTGGCAGAGCCTGGGGGAGGCTGGCTGGCCACCCTCCACACTGACCCCTTCCTGCCTCCCTCCCCAGGAGTATGAACCGACCATCTTCTACCCCACACGCTCACTGGACCCACTGCACCGGGACCTGACTACCCAGTGCGAGAAGATAGACATCCCTTTCCTATCCTTTCTGCCCACAGAGGTCAGTGCTCAGCAACCACTGAGGGGCAGGTGGGGGATGGTGTCCTAAGGTCACCCCTGACCCTGCCTGCCCTCCCAGGTCCAGCTCATCAATGACGCATACGGGCTGGTGGTGGATGCTGTGCTGGGCCCTGGCGTGGAGCCCTGTGAAGTCGGAGTCCCCTGCACACGTGCGCTGGCCACACTCAAGCTGCTGTCCATCCCCCTTGTGAGCCTGGACATTCCCTCAGGCATGCCAGGCATAGGGGGGATGTGCAGGGACTGGGGGACCTGGGGAAGGGCCCTTGTGCTCTAGCTCCTGCCCTGGCTTGCCTGCTCTGGACCTCAGTTTCCCCATCATGGATGGATTGTGCACTCTGGGTGTGGCAGAGGGTACATCCATCCCTCAGATGGGTAAGACCAGGGCTGTAGCCCAAGTAACCCTGCGTCCCCTCCCCCCGCTATACCCAGCCCAGTGTGCCCGCTGCCCACCCTGGCCCAGTCGCCTGGGCAGACGTGAGCTCACCCGGCAAAAGCCTCGCCCGGCCTGGCTGTCGCCCCATGCCTGTTGGAGCCATTAGGCCATGGGCAGACGGAACAAACAGTTGCTGGCCAGCCGGACCCTCTACAGGGGGTGGCTGGACTCGTGGGGATGTCCCTTGTCTTGTAAGACCCAGGGCCATCTCAGTAAGATGCCACAGAGCTGGGGAAAAGCGATGTTGGCTATGAGGAGGTGGGCTGTCTGGTCTGAGGGTGGAGGCCAGGGTCGCCAAAGGAAGAAATAAAGTCAGAGGGAGGAGGCTTTTAGTTAGTGGCCCCAGACTCCAGTCAGAGGCAGGAGAGAAGGCAAGACCCCTAATCTGAAGGTGGAGGGTCATTTGAGAAGTGGCAGAGCCTATGGCCCAGTGAAGGAAGTGGTAGGGTCCTGCAAAGTCAAGAGGCAAGATCTAGCCTGAAGGCAGGGATGTCAGGTCAGAGGGAAGAGTGTCTAGTCAGAGGAGGATGGGTGCTCAGGTTGGGTGGGGGACGGGGCACTTCCTGTCAGAGGCAAGAACCTGAGGCAAGAAGACAGGTCTGATGGGGAAGACTTGTCTGAGGATGGAGGCAAGTCTGTCCTCTGAATGGGCATCTAGTCAGAGCGGGGAGGCTGGCTGGGCGTCAGGGTGGAATGAGATGCTAGTGTAAGTGGGGAAGCTCAGGATTGATAGGGAAGGAGGGACAGAGACAGACACCGGCAGAAGCATGGGTCTGATTGCGAAGGGGCAGCAGGTGGAAATGATATATGTAGTCTGAAGGCAGATGGAGGAATATTGGGTAGCAGGATGGGAGGAGGGGCAGAAAAGTATTAGGGCAGAGGCTCTGGTCTGATGGAGAGGGAAACATCTCCAAGGAGGGGAAAGAGATTGGATTGAGGGTGAAAGCTTAGTTTTATGGGGAGGTAGGTCTGACCAAGACTCACGTGACAGAGAGCAGAGGCTGGGTCTGATGGGGAAGGTTAAGTGGGTAGTAGGGTGGCAGTACTCTCTCCTCTGAGGGCGAGCACCGCGCCCAGCTCCCAATCGCCCCCGCTCCCGCCCCTCCTCCCTCAGGCTGGGATGCGGAGACCGGCGGCGACACTGAAGATGGGCTGCGACCTGACGTGCTGGTATCGCTGGCGGCGCCCAAGCGCTGCGCTGGCCGCTTCTCTGGGCGCCACCACTTTGTGGCCGGCAGGTTCGTGCCCGACGACGTGCGCCGAAAGTTCGCTCTGCGCCTGCCTGGGTACACTGGCACCGACTGCGTGGCGGCACTGTAACCGCACCCGGCACCCACGTGGCTTGGACGCTCGCCAATAAACAGATGTCCCACCACCGCCTGGCCTCGCCTCCTCTGTGCGGGCGGGTGGGCAGACTCGGGAAGGGACTTCCCACGGGTCGCCCAGCGGCCCAAGGCGGGAGGGAGGGCAGATGCATATTGGGACTTCTCTCTACGGAGGCCAGATTCAGGGTGGGACTTCTGCCTGCTCGGGTGGCCTAAGGCCATAGGGTCAAAGTTCGATTCGATGGAAGATTTCTGGCCGCCTAAAGCGTGAAGGTTCGGGCAGCTTCAAGCTCCATCCAGTCCAAGAGGCGCTTCCCACAGGCAGCTTGGGATCCAACGTGAAGAACGGAGGGTGGGTTGAAGGAGGGATTTCCAGCCGGCAATGCCTAAAGCGTGAAGGTTCGGGCAACTTCAAGCTCGAGTCCAAGAGGCGCTTCCCACAGGCAGCTTGGGACCCAACGTGAAGGATGGAGGGTGGGTTGAAGGAGGGATTTCCAGCCGGCAACTGGGGGACGCAGGCCAGCCTCCGCGCGGAGGCACAGCAGGATGCATCAAAGGGGGAGACCTAGAGAGGTTGCTTACACATTCAAGTCACCCAGGGCCGAGGAGCTTTGCCTGGACGGGGCGGGGCCTGGGCGAGGCGGGGCCAGCGGTCTCGTCCCGCTTCCATCCTCAGCCCCACCCGCACCGGCCGCCAGACCTGCGGGAGTCCGACCTGAGCGCGCCTCAGAACTGGGACTCTCCCTCGGAGGCTCGGACTCGGCCATGGCGTCACTGCCGCCACTGCTCTGCCTCTGTGTCGCCGCCGCGCACCTGGTGGGGGCCCGAGGTGAGGCGCCCCCAGGCCCCAACCCAGCCCCCTAGGCTCCCGAAAGTCTGGCAGTGGGGCTGGCATGCAGCCGCCAGGAGAGAACCAAGGGACTGCTCACTTTCCCTGGCCTGGGTCTCCTTTGCCAGCCCGGGGATGCGGGGAGTGAGGGGTCCCGGGGAGGCCGAGGGGACAGGACCTCGTCCACGCTCTTTCTTCCTGGAAGAAACTGTAGGGGCACTCGGAATACGGATGGCTCTTCTGGGTTCCTTCGGATGGTGGGGTACCTATCTCAGCCCCAACGTCCGGCCCCTGAATCATTCCATCCCGGCCCCTCTCACCTAACTCCTTTTCTCTACCACACATCTCCCGCTCTAAAAAGAAAGTCCCATCTCTGGAAGACTCAGTGGAGCGGAGAACTGGGCCCACTTCTCAGATGAGGAGACTGAGGCTTCAGGCGGGGAGGGACTTGTCTGAGGTCATTGCCTAGCCCAACTATCTCAGACAACTGGAAGCCAAAGAAGCCAGGCTCGATTCCAAAGACCTCCTGCTGGCAGTGTGGGCCTCAAGTGCAGGGATGAAAGGTAGACTGAGGGAGGGACTTCCAGCAGGCAAATGAACGAAGGGGAATACGACCTGAGGGCACAGCACATTTAGGGGGAGAACTGGGTCTGGAGAGCAGGGTGGACAACTTCCACGGCCCATGGAATTGGGGCTGGGTCTGAGTGAGGGTTGGGGCTGTGGGGTCACAGGGAGGCTTCTTGGAGGAGGGGGCACTGCAGTCCTTGGGGTCAGCCAGAACTGGGCTCTGGCTTCCAAGAGCCTCAGTTTTCTGCAAAATGGGGGTAGTCATGGCAGTACCTTGCATAAAAGGAGCTCACAGGGGTTTCCATGAGCACCCCTTCCCCCTGTCCTCACTCCTTCCACAGGCACCACCCCCATTGAGGAGCCCACGGCAACTGCGTGGGGTCTTGAAGATCCATTGCTGGGCCTTGGCCAGTCCTCACCAGTCCTGGAGGACTGGGAAGGTGAGTCGGCCTGGGTCAAAGTCCTGGCTCTGCTGTGGACTGTGGTGTGAGCTCTGGCTGGTGGGGGTCACATGGGGAGGGGACACAAGCTAGGTGAAGAATCGGTACTGTTCTGGTTTTTGGACATGACAGCCCCTGGAAGTAGTGCCCCAAGAGGTCTAAGTTTTAGAAGCAGAGAGGTGAGAGTCCAGGCTGTCAAGGAGGAAACCAAGAAGAGGTAGTGGTGGGGTGGTGGGACCACCTGCCCAGGCCATCCAGGGAAGCTGGAGATCTGGAACCTGGGTCTCTAGTTTTTGGACTAAGGAGGTCCTATTTGACTTGCTCTTAAATCCGATAAGGAACGGGCTCCCCCTGGGGGGTTGATATGAGAGGCCATCCCCTTCTGCCTATGGTAGTTTCAGCCTGTGGTGGGTTCACTGGGCAGTGAGCAAGGCCCCAGCTGGTGCAAACAGTGAGCTGCCAAGCAGCAGAAAGCCACAGCTAGAGCTGGTGTCAGTCTGGCTTCTCACATCTCAAAGGTTCTGAATTCTCAGGGTGGGGGCAGGTGAGACAGTGGAAAGATCTCTACGTGCACTGATGTGACAGTTCAGGCAATGGTCAGCAGACATAGGGCTAGTCAAGGGGAGGTCACCTCCCGGTGACCCCTTCACAGCTCCTTCTGCCCTTGAGGGCTCTGGATTAGGGCAGAGCTTTGGCAGGCTGGGGTAGCCCTTGCTCATTGCGGTGGCCGGGAGGAGGGCTTGGCTTAGCATGTAAGGCCCGTACCACGCAGATGGGGCCCGACAGGCTGCGGCCCGGGTCCCAGCTTGTGCGGTGCCCACAGAGGCCAGCGAGTGGACGTCCTGGTTCAACGTGGACCACCCGGGCGGCGACGGCGACTTCGAGAGCCTGGCCGCCATCCGCTTCTATTATGGGCCGGCGCGGGTGTGCCCACGGCCGCTGGCACTGGAGGCGCGCACCACGGACTGGGCCCTGCCGTCCACCGTTGGCGAGCGTGTGCATTTGAATCCCACGCGCGGTTTCTGGTGCCTCAACCGCGAGCAGCCACGCGGCCGCCGCTGCTCCAACTACCACGTGCGCTTCCGCTGCCCGCTAGGTGAGGGCGGGGACCAGAGGGGGCGGGGCCTGCGTAGGGTAGGAGGGGTTGTGAGAGGCGGGAAACTCTCCTAGGTGGGTGGGGCCTGAATAGGTGGTGCTAGGGAGAACGCGTGTGCGTGTGGGCGTGGCTAGAAAGAGTCGGAGTCCAAGCAGAGGGCAGGCCCGGGTGGGGGCGGGGCTTTGGAAAGGAGGGGCTGGGAATATCTGGGAGTTTAGGTGGGGGGCAAAAAGGGGCCTCCGGAGCTCATCTACCTCCCGTTGCCCTCAGTTATGATCATTTCAATTGCGTTCTGTGGGGGCTTGTTTTGAGCTTCAAATGTGAGGGGCGCAGGCAGAACTGCAGGCTAACCTCGAGGAGCTTAGTTGGTACCTCAACTGCACCTTCGATCGGTACTCCTAGGGGAGCACTGATGGAAGCAGTGGACAGGACTTCTCTTTGTAGTACCTGCCTATGGATACATGTGGCGGGGGCGTCCTTCAGTCCTCCACTGTCACCAAACTTCCAGGAGGCATATTCCTTAGGATGGGCAGCCGCCTAACCATCCACCCACCCGTCCTCCCCGCAGAGGCCTCGTGGGGAGCGTGGGGCCCGTGGGGTCCCTGTTCAGGGAGCTGCGGGCCAGGCCGTCGCTTGCGCCGCCGCCGCTGCTCAAGCTCCGCTGGAAATACATGTCCCGGACGCCCCCTGGAGGCACAGAAGTGTGTGCGGCCTCGATGTCCAGGTAGGAGGGGCGGGGCCAGTTGAGCGACGAACCTAGAAAGGCGGGGCTAGTTGGGAATGGAGCCTTGTGGGCGGGGCATGGACAAAAGGCGGAGCCTGGGTGCAGGGGTTGGGGCTGGAGGGCCCGAACTTAGTTCAAAGGAGATTGGCTCTTCCTTCTCTTTTGGGCCCCACCTCTCGAGGAGCATTGGTGAATGTGTACATCTGGACGGGTGGACGCTCTGGCGGTAGTGTTCAGACATGGGCAGATCTGAGGAGCTTTTCCTGTGCGCACGCCTAGTGTGCGGATGTCCCAGTGGACGCGGACACGCACAGAACTGGGCTCACGCACCTGGGGTGCACACATGCGGCATTCGCAGCCCCTGCCCATTCCCTGCGCCCACGCGGACACGCGCTCACACCTTGGCAGACACGATACCCAGGCTCTCCCAGGGCCAGACGCCAGGCCATCCAGGAGGCGACTGGAAATTCCTATTCGGCCCGGGCTCCACAAACACGGTCTGGATACTGTGCCGGCAGAGCCCGCGCGGCAGGGTGGGGGAGCACCATGGCCAATGGGGTGGTGGGGTCCCCACCCTACCCCGCCTGGCTCTGCCCTCCCCGCGGCGGCGCCTCTGCCCCGAAGTTTCCAATGGAATTTTCCATTTTGTAGAGAAACCACGGGTTGGGAGGGGAGGGAGATGTTCTGGGCCCAAGATCCAGCCCCTTGCTGGGCCCCCAGCCCCGGCCTGGACATTTCTCTTATGCTGGAAGGAGTCTCTCCGTCCTGTGAGAGTCACCACTCCTGTTGCCTCCTCCAGGGCAACTTCACTTCTTATCTCCTCACCTCTCTGGACCCCAGGTCCCTCTCCGTGCTTAGCCCTGACCACTCGGCCCCATGTTCCCTCTTGCATTAGAGGTTGTGCCAAGCAGGGTCATGTTGAGGCACCTTCGATGAGTAGGTTCCGCTTCCTCTCTGCCTCCCTCTGTCCCCCAGGGTGTAGCCCCAACATGTGTGGATGCCCCAACCATGTCCTCCTGGGCTCAGTGGTCACCCCATCTGGCCGACCACTGCCAGGAGCCAGAGTCTCCCTGAGAGACTGGCCTGGTCCTGTGGCCACCAGCGATGCCCATGGATCCTTCCAGATGTCTGGAGTCTGTGCCGGCAGCCGGGCCAACGTCAGTGCCCAAATGGATGGCTTCTCTGCTGGCATGGCCCAGGCCCAGGCCAACAGCTCTATGTCTGCTGTGGTCACTATTGTTCTTGATAAGTTGGGTAAGTGCCTTGTGGTAAAGTGGGTGAGGGGGTCAAGGAACTGGGGAGGAAGTTCTGGGTGATGCCAAACACTTGAGATCAGGGCGATGTGATAGAGCAAGGCCACTGGGTAAAGAAATGAGATGTGACGCAGTCATTGAAGGTG